ATCCCTCCCACACTGGAATCCTTAAAGGATTCTGATTTATATTTGGAGCTGTTGCTGGCATTATCAAGAAGTGGCCTGATTTGATTTATATCTCAATAATCCCTCCTTCTCTTTTTCTCTCTTGCACTTTCTCCTTTCTCTCTTTCTCTAGCATACATACCAACATTCCTCTCTCACAGATGCCTCACACTCTGCAATCTTTCATCATCTTTTCTCTTCCATGCAATGTGAAAGCTAAAGCTTCTGTCAGTCACTCTTTACAGAAAAGTTCACAATCAGCAAGCACTCGAGCATTAACTGAGTGTAGAAAGCGTCAGAGGAGTCCACTCTATTTTCCCCACCTTTCAAAGGAATTAATGCATTTGTAAGGAATGAATACAGGAAGTTCATGCTGTCCATAATAAGAAAGCAGAATAAAATAACTCAGTGGCTTGTGCCAACTAGTCGCAGACTTATTTTGGGGGGCTTTAGCCCCACTTGAATTTCCTGCAGTGTAACTAAATAATTCAGCCTTTTCTACCCAATTCATAATGTAAAAATATGACAGACTTCAGAATTACAGTAGTCATAAGAAGGGCTAGACTTAAGACCATGTGGAAACTACCACTACCACTACGAATGTCCCATCCTATCTATTAGAGACATGTTTTTTAAATAAACAAAATATGCCATTTTACAGATGGCAGTTAATCTAAAATACTGACCCTGATTTTTATACCCCTTTTTCTCTTGTCATAATTATTTTTATTTAAACATTTTTATACATTTTTTCTCTGAACTTTGAGGACATTGTGCATTTTTATTTGTTAATTTATTACATAACTTCATTCATTATCTGTGTATTAAATACATTTGTTACAGTTCATGTATATGTAGTGATGGCAGGGCCTGTGAGCAATACAGTAAAGAACTGGTTGTTCTAGTCTTGAAGATTTTCCTTTATGCCCTTGTGCTCCAAACAGGCCCATTAACTCCACCTCAGCATCATTTAATTACACTGACCTGATTTTTGCAGGCTCTTTTCTTCTTTTTTCTTTTTTTTATTCCAGTGGTGTCCATCATTTTGACGACTATAAATATACTAATGGTATCTCAGCTTACATTGGCCATTGCCCTATTGTGACAGTATGGTACACCAGGTTATGACCCATGAATAGAACGTGCAATAACGCTGTGAGAAAAGCTGTATTTTGGTCATTTAACATCTCTTGCCTTGTGATAGAAAAAACAGTTCTACAGCAGAGGAGTGGGATGTTAGTAATGTTACACACCATGCAGATCACTAATCCTTGATGGGATTAGAGGAATACCTCTTGGCATGTGCATAAAAGTCCCAACACGTCATTGGCTGTCTAGCACACTTAAAACTGATTGAGTCAGGGAGGACTCCAAAACATGCGCAAATAGAAATGTATGAAGCGGCATGGAGAGGCCCAAGAGGCTGATGTATCTCCATCCCTCTGATGAGGGCTGAATTTAAAGTGCTTGTGAAGTTAGCAGTTAGGAGTTAGTCCTGCAAAGGCTCTGTTGATCCTGCACTGTAGGCTTTTGTGCAATTGAATCACACAGGCAGGTAGACAAACATTATTTGGACATCTGGACTGCTTTACTGTCAAAGTATGGATGGCAAGCATCATTTGTCAAATCAGGTCTCATGATTGCTTATACTACTTGTAACAGAGGTACCATCACTGTCTGCCTTAGACAAAGGTTTCTGCTCAATGATGCAGTTCCTCCAAGCGAGCACAGAACTAGAATGGAGCAAGTAGACTGCAGAGGGAGTGCCAGTCTGAGAGCATGGAAGCAAGCATTAGACTCGGGGTGAAAGTCCAGTGGGAAATAAGCGGTCTAGTAACCACTCCACAGGTGGATGCTGCAAAAACTTTTTCATCTGTCATTATTGGCTGCTTGATGAGGCAATAATTTGGAGCAAATACTGCAGAAGCAGCCCTAAGAAGAGCCTGTGTGGACAACAGGGGCACAAAAGAAAATATTCACAACTCCACATAACAGTTTCTGTAAAAGCAAGAAATGAATTCACAAATATTGCAGGTCTGGCTGTTTAATTGTCTCCACTTCTGTTAAGCAGGGTCGTGCTTCAGTATGTCTGCAAGACAAAGAGACAGCTGGCAGTTCATAATCTGTTAGGACAAAAGTTGAGAATGCTTTCTTTTCTTAATCCTATTTTCCTTATCTCTTTTCATCTAATTCCATCACAGCACTATGTAAATCCAATTTTGCTGCTTTCATTGTCAGTGTGCAGATATATTGTTTTGCTCTGTAAATCAACTTGATCTTTTCTACTGCCACAGTTTGGATTCTGTTCTGCTGATTCATTGTTTATCTTTTATCAAGGTTTGATCTGTTGAAAAGGAGGATGAGTAAATAGCGGAGATACAGGGAGTGAGGAAGTTTTTAGAAGTCTTAACTGAAGCATGTTTTTAGTAGGTCATTATATTCATTCATGGCATTGAAAAGACATTGTTTTCACCTAAAAAGATGTGTATAATAAAGATGTGTATACAAAAATTCAGCTTCATATATTAATATTTTCTTCTTGCAGTGTCAATAGAACATCCAAGCATAAATCTTGTATTAAACCATGTGCTGCACTAAACCCTGTTGTTTTGTGCAAGGTTTTAATTTCGAACAAATTAAAACTGCAACAGTGGAATGTGATTTTCAGCCTGGTGTGTGAGCTCTGTCACATTTGCTCAGTCCCCCTGTATGAAAACAAATTCTTTTTCCACCCCCAGGCTTTGGCTGCTTGGAATTTAAATTTTGCAATTGAAGAATTAATGGAGTCAGTAATCAAGCAATTAATCAGTAGTTACAGTAATAGCCTCCCCATTCTTAAGTGAAGAGCTTTCTATTGGAGATTAGGCTGTGTGTTGAACACACTGTATGCCTACAGAAACTATGAATATTGCATCCCAACAACACTGCAATGTTACTGCATGTCTTCATTCGCAGTGCTTTTCCAATTAACACAACAAGAGAAAATCTTCTGGGTTTTTTTTACAAGGAAATTGTGCTTTTCCTTCTAAATAGACAAATTGTCTTGAATAAAACATTTTTGAACACTGTAATTTGTTAATATTCTTTCTAAATTTTGATGTTGACTCAGTGACAATTAACAGAGCTGTTCATTTGTGATTAGTTTCTTTAAATATAAAAGATATTTTACTTAATTAATATATAACACATCTCAAGATAACGCTTATCTCAGAGAGCTCTTTCTGTTATTGTTGAAAGATTGAACCTTGTTGTGTGAAAGACATTGTGTTCCGTTACAAAAATGTTTCACATTTCCTAAGCTATTCATAGCCAAACAACACATATTCCACAGTGGTTCAGTATTTATCGCTGACATTTCACTGGAGGTTGAAAATCTAACAGTATAGTTTACATCTTTTTCTTCATGTTCACATTGATTTTCTGAACATGCTCCAGTTTCCTCCCACATTCAAAAACATTCAGGTCAGGTAGATTAGAGGCTCTATAAATGTTTCCCTTTATCTGTGCTAGCTCTGTGACTCACTTCCGACCTGCCCAGAGTGGTTCCCTGTTTTTCACTTAGATAGTAGTGAGGAAAAAAATGACAATAAAAAAAAACCATATACTAATGAACTGTATAATAAGCAAAGCAATGAGAAAGCTGTATGACTCAACATAATAAGAGTGTTGTAATTATTGTATTTGAATTCATTTTTGAACAATGGTGTTGCAATGTAGTCATTAATAATAAGCCGGTAAAGTTCAGAGATGTTATACTGAACATGAAATTAATCAATATGTCAGCGATGTGTCTTTCAGTGGGTTTATTATTCCACAGAATGGATATGATTATGTTTAACACTAAAACACACACATACATTGATTATAGAAAACCAACAGGGTTTTTTTTATTTTTGTGTGACAGACACACTTGGCTGAGATATTTGACAATGAAGGACATCAGAGCATCAGTGGCATTTATGGCATTTAACTGTACTGATCTTTCACTTATTAAGTAGCTGAATACCCATATTGTATAAAACATGTAAGAAAAAATGTATGAAGTGCTTAGTAAAAAAGAAAAAATATTTTGAATGGTCTAATGGTTTAAGGTAAAATGTCTCAGACTTTAAAAGCCAACTTGGGCCCTGGGAATACTCAAGTTCCTTGAGTAAAGTTTATTAAAAAAAAGAAAAAAAATGTAAAGTGTATATTCAGCAGAAAGCAAATAAAGAGAGGCCACTGTTGTAGTGTTGACCTCACTGCTAGTCTACATTTCAGCTGCTTAATGTTCCTGCCTTAACTCACAGTGCTTTTCCAGTTAACATGAAAAGAGAAAATCTTAACCTTAATCTTTTTAAGGAAGTTGTAAATTTAAACAGAGCTTTTAATTTGTGATTTATAAAAAAAAAAAATAAAGATTAAAAACCCAAATGGAGAGGCCACTGTTGTAGTGTTGAACTCATTGCACGTTCTCTAAATCGATATACACACACATATTATATGTGTATATATATCTATATATAGATATATATTTTCACTTGCTTTCATGCCTTTTGTTTGCTGAATTGTGAGTTGTAATCAGAGGTTTCTAGATATCTTGACTCGATTGAAGGACTAGTGGGTGTTGAGCTTATTATTATTTATGCTCCTCCACACTGAAATATAAATCACAACGCAGCAGTCATGGCTGCTTTTTTTCACTTTTTTTCACTCGTTCCCTTCTTCTGCAAACAAACAGCACAGAAATCATTTGTTTTTTCAGGAATTTGGATTATGTGACTGAGATACAAGGACATTGTGCCGGAAAACGCATTTCTATATAAGTTCCCAGTTTGTGTGTGGATGTGGTTAATGGTTGCTACAAGACAGTATACCTTTTTTAAGGCTATCCTTGTGCTAATAATTCGAAATGGCATGGGATAAACTTTAGTATGCATTAGACTTGTTCACACACTTACCTAATGGGTGTCTTCTCTTTTCTCTTTCTCATTTCATTCCAGTGGGCCAAAATCCTCTTTTAAGAGAGTGAAAGACCAGTCAATGAATTATGAATGTTAAACAAGATGACCTCCTCTCAGCAGCAGCAGATGATGCGAGGTCCTAGGTGGAACCGGGCCTTGTCCGACCCTTTGTTTGTTCTGCTCCTGGCCCTCCAGCTGCTGGTGGTCGCAGGACTGGTTCGCGCTCAGACGTGTCCCTCTGTCTGTTCGTGCAGTAACCAGTTCAGCAAAGTCATCTGCACCCGCAGAGGCTTGCGGGATGTTCCTGATGGCATCTCTACCAACACACGCTACCTGAATCTGCAAGAAAATCTTATTCAAGTCATAAAAGTGGACAGCTTCAAACACCTAAGACATCTAGAGATACTACAGCTGAGCAAAAACCACATACGCAAAATTGAGCTTGGGGCCTTCAATGGACTGGCCAGCCTCAATACCTTGGAGCTATTTGATAACCGCCTCACCACCATCCCAAACGGGGCTTTTGAGTACTTGTCCAAACTAAAAGAGCTTTGGCTAAGGAATAACCCCATAGAGAGCATTACCTCCTATGCTTTCAACAGAGTGCCCTCATTACGAAGGCTGGACCTTGGGGAGCTCAAACGGCTCAACTACATATCTGATGGGGCCTTTGAAGGGCTGAGCAATCTGCGCTACTTAAATCTGGGAATGTGCAATCTGAAGGAAATTCCCAATCTTATTCCCCTAGTGAAGCTGGATGAACTGGAAATGTCAGGAAATCAGCTATCTATCATCCGGCCTGGTTCATTTAAAGGGCTTATACACTTACAAAAGCTGTGGATGATGCATGCCCAGATCCAGACCATAGAAAGGAATGCTTTTGATGACCTGCAATCACTTGTGGAACTCAATCTGGCCCACAATAACCTTACCCTCTTGCCCCATGATCTATTCACTCCTCTACATCACCTGGAGAGAGTGCACTTACACCACAACCCTTGGAATTGTAACTGTGACATCCTCTGGCTAAGCTGGTGGCTTAAGGAGATGGTACCTGCAAACACCAGCTGCTGTGCCCGCTGCAGTTCACCTCCTCACCATAAGGGACGCTACATTGGTGAGCTGGACCAGAATTACTTTCACTGTTATGCTCCTGTTATTGTGGAGCCTCCCACAGACCTAAATGTAACAGAGGGAAGTGCTGCAGAGTTGAAATGCAGAGCCAGCTCTTTAACCTCAGTGAGCTGGATTACACCCAATGGTTCCATCATGACACACGGTGCATACAAGGTCAGAATCTCTGTGCTGAATGATGGCACACTGAACTTTACCAACGTTACCATGCAGGACACAGGTACATATACGTGCATGGTGAGTAATTCTGCAGGTAACACAACAGCATCTGCCACACTCAATGTTTCCTCTACGGAAAGCAGTTTCAGCTACTTTACTACAGTGACAGTGGAGACAATAGAAACCCCGCATAATGAAGGCTTCACCACTACTGTCCAACAGAAGGTTGGCCCCACACCCTCTGCTGGTACATGGGAGTCTATCTCACCAACCTCTACAACAACCACCACCGTCCGAACCGCACTCTCCACACGTGCCACAGAGAAGACTTATACAATTCCCGTCACAGAGGTGGGTGGTGAGGGATTGCAGAATGGCTTGGATGAGGTAATGAAGACAACCAAGATCATCATTGGCTGCTTTGTTGCAATCACACTAATGGCAGCTGTCATGCTTATTATCTTCTATAAGATGCGCAAACAACACCACCAGCAGAATCACCATGCACCCACACGCACTATTGAGATCATCAATGTGGACGAGGATTGTGTAACAGGAGGCCCAGGCATGGAGGGCCACCTTACTCTCCCTCCTCTTGAGCACGAGCACCTCAACCACTATAACACCTATAAGACTGCATACAACCATGCCTCCACAATCAATTCTATACACAGCTCAGCGCACGAACCTTTGCTAATCCGGGCCAGCTCAAAAGACAATGTACAAGAGACCCAAATCTAATACTTTTGTGAGACATTTTAAAACTGATGAAATTACTTACAGGCATTATTGACAGAACATTACTGACCTTTGGTTGCGAGGACTGCGGCTGACGCTCGGAATAACAGACTTGTGTTTGGCAAATCAGCGACTAGCAATGTTAATTCAGTGACTTTCGGAATTAGAGTATGTCTACTGTTTCAAAAAGTGTCTTTACAAAGCAGAAGTTATTTATTTAAGAAAAAAATGTTGTGGTTAAATCACGAAAACTGTATTCTGCAATTATTTTTTCAACACTTAATTCATGTGGGTTTTTTTCTTCTTTTTTCCTCGCATATCACAAAATTGGTTTACTAATATACTTTCAACTTCTTTCAAAGATGTGTCAAAAAACATGAAACAAAGTATTGTTCCTTTATTGTTCTTTTTTTGGTATAGCTGCCGATTTTCGATCAGATGACACGGTAACCTCATTTTCCCCATTTATCAAGGAATCCTAGAGCACATTAGTGATTTTCTCAGCTGTGGATTAATTGATGAAATCTTTTGTGACCATCTCTAACTGAGATGAATTAAACACTTGTTCATCATTTTGGAGTGAGTGACAGAACTGTCAGTGATGGAATCTGATCATTATTCACCGTTTAATTATCTGTCACATACATTAGCCACTCTGCGCTGTCATCAATAGGCTGAGGACCTGAAAAGAGGGAAATGCATCCATTTCTGCTACTGTAAAAGTTGAAGCTCACTGCTAGAAGGACAGTTTTGTTAAATTAAATACTGTTGATCTATATGTCTTTGTGTTTCTATTGTATATGTAAAATTTAAAATGATCCCTGATCTCAAATTTGTCTTGACAAATCGCATTATTATAGAAAGCATATAATAAATTGCATTAAGAACCATTGAAATTCTGAAGGTCATGCTACAGAAGCAGCATTAACACGTACTTTAGAAAGAACATAATTATGACTGGAGAGGATGGGAATAATGCTTGTACAGATGTACATGACCTCAAATTCTGGCAAACACCCACTGCCTCAGAATATTTCCAGTGTATCATGGCTTCACCTTTACCTTGCAGTGCTGTGTAGTGTTGCATATGAAGATGATTGCTTTGAAGCCCCATTTTCATGCTGGGACCCCTTACCTCATCTGCAGTACTGCAGGAGTGCTGTCAGAAGTAGACTGATGAGCGGAAGAAAGAGCTTAAACCCTTTATACAGCTGTCTGAGCACATTGCCTGTCATCTTTGTGCCATATTTCCACATGGGCAGTGCCTGGCAGTCCCAGATTCACACCCTGCTCCCGCCAACCACAGAACTTGCCCCTGAGTGGCAAGGCTTAGCTGCAAGAGGCTTATGGGGTGAATGTGTGGGATCGGGCATCAACCAGATGTTTGGGTTGCACCTGACTCTCTCCATCGTTAGTGACAACACAATTTACATTTTAATTGATGTGCCTGTGGGCTTTGGATGGGCACAGCTCTGCTGCCATCCATACCCTGGAAAGCATTTCAAAGTCCCAAATGTAATGAATGGTGCCAAGCACCATAAATGCAGTGGTTATGCAGACATTTGCGATGGCACAGGTTTATTTTTTAGCAAGTTAACTGTGGTTTTTATTCAACAGAAAAATTTGCAAAAAAAAAGTTAGGCCACTCAAATTCTTAATTCGGTTTGGGTTTTTTTTTTTTTTTTGCAGTAATGCAATCCAGAAAGGAATGCCTTTATTAAAGATGATGTCATGTGCTTTCTGTGGATTCACCACGCATATCATTTAAGTAAAAGCTGGTACTCCACTGAGAATTTGAAACATTTGTCCTCTATTAGTTCAAAACATGTCTGGAAAAAAATACATGAAAACAGTCCACTGCTGTGGTCACTTTTAGATGAATGGTGGCAATAGGTGTTTTAAGTTCTGAAAGCTATTCAGAATAATGATTTAAGAAGTGAAAGATTTTCTGTGGGCTTTTCTTCAAAATCATTTACATATTTTACAGAAAATATAGCAAAAAACACAGTTTTCCTGTCAAGATAACAAGCAGCAATGTCTATAGGTCCGCACATTACACCACCTGTTTCACAAACACATGGGCTACCACAGGTAACAATCAAACAAAAAGATCCCACTGTCTACTATACAAGTTTGTATACTATACAAGCCTCATTCAAAACTTCCACAAAGCCAAGCAAAATAAACCAATTTTTACAGAAGTTTTAAAAGAATTCACTCTCATTCAAGTGGTTATGTGTCACTATGAATAAAGGCAAATTAACAAAACGGCTTTAACCGGACATAAGTGCAAACCTTTTACAGCCAATACAGATTTTAGCTTAAATTGAAAAAAAGAATAAAATGCTGCACCCCTTAGCTTAATGCATAGAGTATGGAGATTAAATGAGATACAGTGTTAGTTTGCCTCAGAACAATATGATCTATGCTTGATTCACACCGAGTTTTTATTACCTGGGATACCTGATATATGTATTACAGTTGCACAGATTATATATTTTAATTAATTCATAATCTGTAGTGTAAAAACACACACACACACTCCAGCACTCCACACAAACTCACACACACCCTATAATGCAGAGTATATTTAAGAATATTAATTCTATTAAAGTAATTTTATTTTCACAGCTTTTTTTCTCTGCCAGATAAGGAATTATGGAGGTTTAAGATGAGCGCCATTTGAGATGCAAGTGGTTATTGCATGTAGTGTTTCAAGGTGTTTTGATAACAAAGACGTTCTGAATGACGTTCTGAAATCAGAAGTTCTGAAATCAGAAGTTCTGATGTGCTGTGTACAGCACAGACGTGGGGAATACTGTAGATTCCTAAATAAAATGAGGTCACCGGGTAATATTAGTCCAGATTTAATGAATGATTCCCCTTAATTTTTTTTCAACAACTGGACGGGATTCACCCCATAATTGCCCTTATGTGGAGACTGGCACATTTGTAAACCATATTGTGTGTGTGTGTGTGTGTGTGTGTGTGTGTGTGTGTGTGTGTGTTATTTAACTGTAGAGTCTGTGCATTTTGATT